GATCACTATTTATATATTTTTCATCTGCAGCTTATGCAGTTTAAATGAAGAAAAGCAAGGGGAGAGGCAGGCAGGAGCGGGGGCCGCACACCCAGCTCGGCTCCATTCAGGATTTTGCTCCGTGCAGCTCCGCGGGGCAGCGCAGCCCTCCCGCCAGCCTCGCCTTCCGTCCTTGGCATTTTCCATAAAATAACTCTTATTTCCACAAAGCTACATAAACGTAGTGGGGAGGGAGGCAAGGAAATGCTGCATTTGAAAACAAAGCCACGTAGGAATGGCATTTGGTGAACTTCTGGCTTGTGCCTTACGTATTTATCATTCGTAAGCAGAAAACTCCAGGAAATCCTATCCCATGGCACCGCTCTCACGAGTTTTATTGAAAAACTGTAATATCCCTTTGCATTCTAAACTCTGTCTGAAAGCCACCCACGTTATGGCTTTCTGTATACATATTTGAGCAGTTGTCAAACAAAGCCCATTCCTCCCTCGGCTGCTGGGTCCTGCTGCTTTATCGCTGCATCTCCCCGCAGCATCACTCCAAACCTCACAGAGCTTTGCAGGCTGCCTGAGCGCTGATTAACGGTGTTGCCAAAAAGAAAAAAAAAAAAGAAAAAAAAAAAGTTTGGAGATAAAAATTTGAATGTGCTTGCTTTTGGGGGCAGCCATTTGAAAAATAATAATAATAAAAAAGCAAAACTTGAGAAAGCAGAATGTCCTTCTGAACGTAAATTTCAAGTATTCCCTTTGTTTCATCTTTTAATCAAACACTTGCTCTGGAAGTGATTTCTGTAGGGAGCTTTGCATCGACTATTCTTCCCACTGCTGCATCCTACAAGCCAAAGGATTTCTTTCCTCCAACAATAATAATCAATGATTTTTAGGAAGCAAGAGTAGCCCCATTTTCATCCCTAATGTTTGCCTAGAGAGAGCAAGGTAAATTATACAGAAAATGCAGTCTATCCTTACTGCAGGACAGCCTGATTTATCGGCTGTGCATCTGTTTCATATAAAGTGCCCTGAGTAGAACAAAACCCTCCATTCTAGCAGAACCAGGACATTCTCTTTAGTTTTCAATAAATCATGTTCTACCTATGGGATACTTTGTTAATGACCATACACTAAATATGGGGGTTTTTCTTTTTTTTGGTCTTTTCCTTTTCTATTTTTTTAACTACCCTATAAAAATATCCCAAGTTTCTAGGGCCAGTTAAACACTCTTGTCGTACAGGCAAACCCCACTTTCATTTCAGAGGGAGTTTGGCTTTACCGAGCTGACTACATCAAATATCTCATCAATGACATACATCACTGCAAAGATCCATGTCAAAACAACCAGGATTCATAAACCAGCCAAAAAAAAAATACATAATTCAAAATCTTTCTGGGCTGTGCTTGCAGTAAACATCTTTGCCTTTACCTACTTAACTTTTTTTTGTACAAGGTGCAACCTTAAAAGTGGCAGGGCCAGACTGCTCTCCAATACAAACCCACTGCTTTGTTTTATTTTTTGTGCATTGTTAAAATGTTTCTTCTGTTTATATATTGATAGTGAGATCACACAGGGCTCATACACCTTGAGCATAAAGAGGTGCCAGGAGAAACCCCACGGTAGTCGGTGTGAATGAGGAGCCCAGAGCCCTTCCCTAAATGCTGTGGGGATGGGATGGGCTGAAACGACCATGAGGGTGCTGCAGGCACGGCTCCTCGCTCCTGTGCAGGTTGTACTCTTTGTGTCCTCAGCCCCAGCTTTCCCCAAACCAGCTGAGACTCCAGGAGCCTGCAGGCTGGGAGGAGAGCTGTGTTCCCAGAGCAGCACCGCTGAAATCCGTGTCTGAGTCACAGCCAAGCTGGGCTCAAGGGGCATATGTCTATCAAAAGCACTGATGCAAAGCTGAAATCATCTTTTGAAGGATTATATTGATGTAACTGGGAGTGGAAATTGTTTTTTCACTGCGGGCATAATTCAGGCAGGAGGATGCTTAGAGCATCGCAGAGGCTTGAGGCCAGAATAACGACACCGGCAGTGAAGTGCAAAGGTGCCGAGGGAACAGGGAGCAAATTCCTGTCAGCCCAGCGAGCCGAGGAGAGCTGGATCTTGCCTCCCACCCTTTCTGCTGCCCCGCCATGCCTCTGCAGCCCCCTTCTTCCCCACCCCGTGTCCAGGGAGCTCTGTCCACACTGGTGGCTCCTCAGCACGGCCGTGAGGCCTTTTGTAGGTGGGGGCCAAAGGCAGATGCAGTGTGAGGTCCATCTGAGGTCCACTGTCCCCCTGACATCCCAGTGACTGCCTGGCCCTCCCTGGAGAGGGCTTGGGGAGCTGGAGCTGGAGCACAGCGGCTCTGAGGTACGCGCTGCCTCTCCTCCTGTGTTCCTCCTGGTCTATGGGGTCTTGGTTTCTGACAGGGCCTCTTGTTCCTCCTGTAATATAAATTGCAGTGTAAAAATACCACAGATGGGATAAGCCGAGTCCTTGACCTTGTTTCTTTGCTGCACGAAGCCAGGTGGTGCCTCTGCCAGTTCCTCTATTGCCAGGCAGGACTCAAACAGCTCCCCATCATCAAATTGCTGGTCCTTCGTTCCCGGGCCGAAGAGGAAATTGAAGTCACCTTTCCAACAGCACGCCAAGTGTTGAGACGTGTTGCTATTTCGGTGTTATCCACAACGTCGTGTCCTTTGCTCAGGAGATGCATCACGGGGACCAGATGCAGGGGATTAGCCGTGCAGCCTGTGGGTCCCTGCAGGGAGAGGAGAAGCCCTTGGGCGTGAGGGCACCTTGCTTTGCCTGCTCCTCTCCTGGAGCCAGCAGTACCCCAGGCTCCACCTCGTCCTGCCACGACTGATCCAGGACTCCTGTCAGCACCATGGGGTGTCTGGGGAATGATTTTGGGCTTCTTCCCCCGAGGGACACTTTCCCAAATGCTTTGCACTGCAGTGAAGGCTGTGCCTACATGGTGTTTTACCAGGAGATTTTCTGCTTCGGCCTTTTTCTGCCTTTCTGATGCTTTTGCCGACATGGCCAGCACGAGATTTGGCCTCTGATAGACACTTACCCATTAGTCAAACATTCGCCTTAGGTGCAGGGTCACCCTGAGGTCTAATTAAGTTTATTGTTTCTAATTAAATTGATTTGAGATCCTTGAACCTTTTAAGAGTAATCATTTATTAAAAAGTTGAGAATTTTTAGCTTCCAGAAAGGAAGGATGAATCGATCTTTCACAGTCTGGTGTTGGTGGTTGAAGCTTTTTCTCATTTACCTTAACCAAAGAAGCAACTAAAAAATTGTTAATCACCTTTGTGAAGGTGTTCAACCTTGGTGTCAGGGTGAAATATATGGAATTATATACACATAAGAACTCAACTTTTAATCAAGAAGAAAAAATGTGAGACAGGGTGTCTCAGCCTGCTCCTGGGGGCATTTTCAGCATCCTGCCGTTCAGAACTGCACAGCTGCACACCAGCATTATTCAAATGAAGTTCAACACTTTTCATTTCTTTGGACTCAATCAACCAACTCAAACATTTTTGCATGGACGACTTGATTAAATGTCAATCAGACATGGCAGAGAAACCTTCAAAATGATCACAACTGCCTAATCTGCTCTTGCCTTTTTGTGCCAAAGTCATCTCAGGTCTTAATAAACCCTAATCAATGCCTACTTTATCTTTACGTGTCAAAACATCCCTTTGAAGCTCTCCTTTGGGCTCTACTGAGGGTCAGGCCAGGTCCTTACACAGTGTGTCCTCCAGAGCTAACAGCACGTTTGTTCACTTGAAGTCTTCAGAGGCTGGGGAATCTTATTGCCTTAGTGCCCTGCTTGTATTGAGCCTTCTGTCATGGGAAATGGAGTCACCCCAAAAGGATTTTGAGGGTCAATTGAAATCTTATTTCCCCAGTCTTCTCTTTGGAGGAATGCCTTTTTTTTTTTTTTTTTTTTTTTTTTTTAAATTTATATCATTAAAGATAACTAAAATAATTAAAAGAAGAACAAAATGAAAGTTATGGATCGAGGAGGTGTGGGAGATGTGGACTGTGACTGTCCAGTCCCTCTTCCCTCACTCATATTTTGCTTTCAGCATCTGGCTAATTAATAAGTGCTGTTTGACAGAGTGTCTCATTTAAGATAACTAAGAAAACATGACCTTCTCCAAGGCTCTTGCCTTTAGAGCTTGGTAATATGCAACGGATAAATGACTGAGGGGGTCAAGGATTTTTAGCTGGAAGACTTTTTCTCCAAAAAAATAATGCTGACTTGTTGAAAATGTCTTTTTCACTTTGAGGAGACAGGTTTCAATAAAGCTTTTTGTTAACAGTTTGAAATATTTTCAACGTTTAAAATGAAATTGCTTTCCAGATAGCCAGCCTGAGTCATCTTTTTCATATTCAGAGGTAAGATAATTATAAAGCAGGAATTATAATAAGGCCAGAGTGGAAATGGCACTTTGGAAACTAATCTAAACAGATTCAGGCCAGACTTTGTCTGAATTTTCTTTCCCTTTTCAGTTTACATTTCTTTTGTCCCGAGATAAAACAAAGAAATATTTCCAACTCTTCCAAGTGCAAAACCATTTCCTTGCCCAGTTCTAATTGCTCAGCTGAATTAGTGGTAGACAGATCACAGCTACCTTCAATTAATCAGTTCCATGTCTGCTTTTTTCCATACTCTCTGACCCATAGCTCATTCACAGACTCTGTGCTGTGCTGATTTAATTAGCTGGTTAACTCACGTGGCCTGTGAGTGTTTCCTGCTTGCACAGACCCTCTCTTCAGCTCACAATTTGCATACATCTTCTAATTCTCACTTAAAATTCACCCCTTCCAAAAACATTTGTGCCTCTGACCTCCCATGCTGGGGTATGTGTGGGATGCTGGTGTGCTGGAAGTACAAACCCAGCTGGAATAAATTTGCTTAAAAAGCTGAGAGGACTTTCACTGAGATTTTTTGGCATTGCTCACCCAGTTTTAATTGCTTTATAAATTTAATGGAATTAATGGTGGCCACCAGGTGCTAGGCTTGTTGTGGATAAGGGGTATAAAGGCAGTGCAGGGTACCCTGAAGCCCTTCCTTAGGGCAGGAATAGTACTAAGAAGGGGATTCTCTGCAAGTTTTAGGCTCTGATGCAGTTAAGTGGGCAGCACTGGGGATGTTTCCAGAAGTTGCTGCACCCTCAGTGAATCTGTGGGGTTTAGGAGGTGCTGTGGTGGTCCTGCATGGCCTTTTTGCTCTCACGAGCCAGGAAATAGTAAGAAATTAACCTACTTCTTTGCCTGTTTTGTTATTTAGAGGGGCTTGGTGGCTATAAGAGAATCAGGACTGCTAAGGTTTCTCAATTGTGCATCAAAAACTGTTTAAACTTGTGCATTTTGTTGCTGCATCAGTAGAGGAAAGCTAAGGTTTTGGCTCCATAGGAGCAACTCTGGCAGTCTATTCAGAGTTAATAAAAAGTTCAGGTTTAGGGTAAATCTGTAATTCTCCAGTTCCTTTACCAGAAGGAGGAAAAAAAAATATCTGTAAATATATTAAATCATTCTCCTGCTGATTACTGCAGGGATTTTTGCTGCCAGGTGAATCTGCATTTTACAAGGAAGATCACCAGCAGGATAGATGTCTCTGATACGCATCAAGGGCTCTGAAATTGTTCCTCTCAATTGAAGGTGACAAAGAATGTAGGAAAGAATTCAGTCTGCTTTTCTGCCCATCCCAGAACACTAATTTCTTTCTTCACATCAACTTCTTGAAGAACAAGCTATTAAAACTCCTTAAGCTGAGGCTCGGTGCCCATTCAGCCGGATTCCCTGTGTGCCTCTGTACCTGCTCACCCAGGAACGTGCTGTGATCTGCTTTTGTACGGGGATGCAGCCAAAGCACACAGAGGAGGGGGGATTGCTGGAATTCATAGAAAGAAAAATAGATTAGCAAAATGTCTTGTGCTGGAAAGCTGCCCCCTGAGTCAAACACCGTATCTGTGGTTGGATGAGGTGTAACCCTCCCAGGAGGCTGGTGCTGGGCTGTGGGGCCAAGCCAGACTCTGCCTCCTGTGCTCTGCTCCCACTTACTGTGAATAAAACCCTAGCAGCCAACTTACAGAACTCATTTTGGAGAGCTCTGGCTTTATTTCTAGCCCATAACCAACAGGATTGTCACTTAAGAAGCCGTGTTGATATGGATCTGCTCTCATCAGGCTGTGCAGGCAGCAGCCATGCCAGGGCAGACGTGGGGAGCGAGCAGCCCGGCTGTAACTGTGTCACTGGGAGCGATAAAACCCCACCGAGCAGGGCTCGCAGGCACCTAATGAGAATCAGATGCAGTGCAGGATAGGCCACGGGCGTGCTCTTATCCATATGCACAGGGAATTATGTACATAAACAGTATAATTTGGTTTTACATCCTATTTTTCATCCTCAGCTTCAGGAAGAAATGAGTTCGTTGCTGGCTGTGCGTGTAGGGGAGCTCAGTGGTGCATGCGGCGACTGCTTGTGCATGATAAACACACCTTGTTCCCTCTGGGATGGGGTCTCTGCTCCTGGTGGCCCAGAACAAACATCACGATGTCTCTTAGGCAAAGAGCAGAGCTGGGGCTGGAAGGAGGAGGGAGCCCAGCAGCACCTGGGGTGGGAGAGGAGAGCGTGGGTGCCTCGGGCACAGCGTGGCACTGCCTGATACAACTGCCCTCCTTGCCTGGCCATACCTGAGGCTGGTGGACAGAGCTGCAGTGCTGAGAGCTGTGCGATCGAGATTTGTGTTAATTATCTACCTGCCTGTGGAAGCCTTAAAGATCATGATTAAGGGCAAAGAAATGACGCTCAGGGGATATTTTAATGAAGAGAGAAAACTCTCTACTTTGTCTCGCAAGTCACTTCTTACATTAAACCTTCCTGGGTTTTATAATTAGAAATTTAATGTTTTGTGAACTGTGGTTCAGGTTCTGTGGGGAAGAAGGTTTATTGCTGTTATCTTCCCCCCTTTCTTAATCAATGGTCCCCCCTCCCCTTGCTGGTTAATGACAGAGCACTTACACCCACCTTGTCTCACTGAGGAGGTTTAGCTCTACAGGGCTGTGTGTGTGTATGCACACATACATTATGTAATAAAATCTCCATCCAGGCAGTTGGTGAACCAGAACTAATGCAAGTGCTTGGCCTCTGGGAGGCGGAGGAGAGGGCGATGTGAGGGCTGCAGGCACCTGCATGTCCCCTCAGGATGTCACCTCCTGGGGGCTGCCACCCCCTGCCTGGTGGGGGCTGCAGTGATGGGCAGCATGGTGTGAGGGTCCTGCCTGGGGCAGGGACTGCCTCCCCCAGTTGCTGAGGCACCACGCAAAGCATTTAATAAATAATGCGTTTTAGAGGCAATTATGTAATTATAGCTCTGCTGTCCTCCCGAGCTGGGTTCACACCAAGCTCTCAGGCAGAGGCAGGATTTGCGTTGCTCTCTGTAAGGCTGATTTGTTAAAATAGGCTCTTTCACTACACATTTCTTCCTCCTTTTATCCTAAATCTGGGAAAACCAGAGCTTTTGCTGCTGCCTGTGCTTGCATGGGCTCCTTGGGAGGGCACCCACTTATTCTGCAGCCCCTAATAGTGACAGCTGTGTCCCAAGCCATGCATAAGCATTGTGTTTGGGCATGCAGGGCTCCCCATTTCAGCAGTAAAATTGCTTGTGGTGTGCCTGAAGGAGCCCTCCTCCCTCCCTCGTGCTGTGCTGGTGGGACAGTGCCATCAGGGGAAGTGGCACAGGGAAGAGTCAGAAAACCTGTGTGGCTTCAGCTTGGGATCAATCAGGTTAAAACCAACCTGATGGGACCTTATTGTGCAACTTGGGAGCTCAGGTGACTACCTGGGGGGAAAGGAGTTTCTTTGCATTTTGTGGCTTGCAAAAGGTGCAAGGCCACAGCTGTAGGGGTAGTGCCTTTGAGCAGCTACCAGCCTACCCGATGCTTGGCTGCAGGAGATGTGTGACCACACATGGGTTTCTCAACACTCAGAGCTGGGTTTCAAGCCCAGGAGCAGACTTGTTGGGGGAAACATTTGGGGAACAGCTGGTATCAGCTATCACTGCTCCTCCTTGTCCATGGGGAGGGATTGCATTGCTGTAGATTACTCGGTTGGCAGCAGTCCCTGTTCACACCCCGTGTCTTGCTAAAACTGTGGGCTGGGAATGGAAGATGTGGAGCATCAGGACTGGCTTTATGCCACCTGGGAGTTGCCTGTGTGGAGGAGCCCTTGGGTACCATTTGGGTGAGCTCTCTGTGAGCCTTTTACTGCCTGAGAAGCTGGTGGTGAGGGATGAGCGAGCCTGGATCTAACCCACCGTGATCTGTATAGAGGAAATCTGGATGCACCCAGAAGGAAGGAAGAGAAATTAGGACAACAGAAGTTACTGGGCTGAAAACTTAATTAACATGTTGCAAAATCTGACCTGAACTTGGGCTCTTTCCCTTTCTTTTCTCCATTGTCGCTTTTGGTTTGGTTTGATTTTTGATTTTTCGTATTACTGCTCAGGATAAATTTCGCTCCCCTATTAGGAATAAATTATATCAGCTAAATGTCAAGCTAATGTGTTAATTCTGTTGCAATGCAGTGGAAAATCATATAACAGAATTCCCCCTGCCATGCACCTTCCTCTGATTCACTCTGTGGCTCGGCTAATGGCTCTGCAGCACAGTAGATCTCGAGTAACTGAATAGCAACCAGAAAGTTTTCTTTTTATTGCATCCATCTGCTGCCCTGGGATGAGGAGCAGCTCCTTGTGCTGCATCTATAATAACACATCCGTTGCTGTACGGGGTACTGGCCCCTTCTCCTTGCTTTCTCTGACAAATAAGCAACAGAACGGCAAATAAAGCTGTGGTTGTCTTTGTCAGCTCCAGCTCTTTGTGCTGCAGGCTAGATGAAATACCCACACAATCATGGCACCATCCCATATTTATTTAAAAATATTAAACTATTTATAATGGAGAGGTCATCAGCATGCTGCATTCATTAGTGAGGGCTCCGGGGAAGAGACAGCAGTGAGCAAAAAAATACAAACAGGCTCTACACAAAAGAGGGAGCAAAGAAGCATCCTTTTGAAATGTCAGCACTGAGCAGCAATTAAAAGCAGGAAGACTGAAATACATGGGGGTTTCAAGAGGCTGAGGACCACTGCCAGCCCTGGCTGGTGGGAGTCCTGTGGGCTGTAGGATGGAGGATTGGGTCTGTACTGCTCAGGGAGATGTATGTGGATTTGCCTTATGAAGGAAGGATGGAATTGGTCATTGTGGAGGATGCTGAGCACTTCCCTGAAGGCTGCACACTGGTGAACACAAGCTCTGTGCCCAGCATGGGCTGGAAAATGGCACATTGGGAAGAGGCTGCTCTGTGCCAGGATGCTCAGAAGCTGCCAGCTGACCTTGTACAGCGCTTCTGGGCATAACGGGGCAAGTGCGTGTTAGGGTCTGATGATAAAAGAGGGGAGTAGGGGATGTGCTGTCTCTTGGAGAGTGTTTCCAAGCAAACAGCAGTTCTTCCAGTAACAATGTTTGAAGTAACTTAAAGCTACTGCAGTGGTTTTATAGCTCTCAGTTCCCTTCATTACATCTCCCGTTGAAATGTGTTCAGAAGAGCTCTTACACCTTGAGCGAGGGCCGCCCAGTCCCTGCTGACTTTGCATGCAGGCAAAAGCTAAATGTGGCACTGAAGCTAACATTAGGATAATGAATTGGAAGAGGTCAGAACAGATGAGGAGATGAATATTTCATCTTTGGCTTGCCATGCCCTTTCAGAAATTAATTAGCATTGGGCAGTTGTGTGGCACTTTTCCTTCTATATTTTTATCATTCTTTTTCTTAAATAGGCATGGATCTCATCCAAAGCCCAAAGTGCTCAGATGGGCTTTGGAGCTGTCCTCACATCTTTATACTTGAAGCTTCTCAGGCTGCCTTCCGAATACAGTTTTTAAAGGTTTCTCACTGCAACTTCTTTCTTACCTGCTCACAAGATTTTCATGTTTTTAGTAACAACAAAGTTGCTGCCCTTGCAAATTGGCCAGACCTAAACCCTGAGCTGTATTTTCCTTCCTTCTCCTGCTCAGCTGCTTTCCCCTACCTGGTTTCCGCCTTCTTACCCAAAACATTCTTCTTCCCCTCACTGAAACTCCAATAAACATTTCCCAGCTCTTAGGGGTCCCTGCAGACATGGCAGCTGAGGATCGTGCTTTCCATTTTCCACCCCATTGCTGGGCTGAGAGCATTTTATTTTAATGTAGAATTTTGTGGGAATTCCTAGGGGAACTTTTCAAGTCCATATTTCCTTGTAGTGCTGCTGCTGAATCATCCAGGAACTGAAACTTGCTTGGTTGGATAGCAATGTGTTTTTATAAGTTATCGACATGCTGAAATTGGACCTCGTCCAAAGCAAACCTTCTACTCTGCCTTGAGTCTAATCCCCGTCATACTGTGGAGGACGAACACGACTCATCTCCAGCCAGCAGAGCTGTATGTAGGGCCTGGTGACACATAGAGGCGATGGAAAAGAGGACTGTATATGCCAGGAGCAGCTTTATAACCAATGTCATAAGAGTGCAAGGATGATTCTCTTGTTTTAGATGTTGTCTACAAGGAGTAATTGGGGAGCAGCAGCTCACAAGAGCAGGCACCAGTAGTTCCTGGCTGGTTATCCTCCGGTGGGCTGCTTCCTCCCAGTTCTGGTTCTCTGCTGGGCAGTGAACTGTCTGTCACTGTGCAATGCGGTTCTGTTTCCATGGATCCAGATCTTCAAATAAAAGCTCATTTGATACAAGTCAGGAGTGTTAAAACTTAATTCTACTGCAGTTAAAAAAAAAAAAAAGATGAAGAGTAAAATAGTGCTGAGATGTGGCTCAGATATATGAGAGGCAGTCTCCAGCCTCCTGGTGCCATATGGATGGGTTTCTTGCATTGGGCTTTGCAGCCTTGGGGTTGTGGAAAGCCTCCGTGACCTCGTGCTGAGGGCTCAGCATGGGGAGTTGAGCTGTCCCTGCAGTGTGATGACAGTATTTGGGTTTGTCCCCGTTGCTGTAGCTGCCTGTGATGGGTCTGGCAGGTGGCAGTGGGCCGGGCAAGGCTGTGGATGCCTCAACCTCCGCTGGTCCGAGTAGCAAGGTGGGGCTGCTTCCTCATGGAGCCTGCCAGGGACGCGGTTCATCTTTCACGGCTGGCTGACGGCACTAGTGCTGCTGCCAGGGAGAGATGGCGTTCAACCAGTTGCTCAGCTTCCTGCTGCCCTAGGCCCTGCGGGCACATCACAAAACCAGTCCCGTGACTTAGCGGCCTTATAGTGCTGGCGGGCACCCCAAGGACACCGCAGGCCAGACCTCCAGTGCCATCACCTGTGGAGGAGCTCAGGAGGCCATGACTATTTCCTGAGTGACCTGTGGGCTGGGTGAGCCTCAATGGGGCTTTGTGCCATTTCCTCCATCTCTTGGCTGGTTTAGGCCTCACAGGGGTAGGAGGCTGGGTGAGCTCTGTGAGAGGAGGATGAGACCAGTGGCAGGAGGAGGCCACTGGTCTCATCTATCTCGCTATAAGTTGCCCTGAGATAACATGTCCATGTGATGGAGGGAAAACCTGTCAGCGTGCTGACTGCGAAATAAGGAAGGAAGCTTGTAAATACCACACCGAGGGGGCCGGCATGTTCCGTGAGGACAGGCTGGCGCTCGTACAAGCCCTCGCGCTCCTGCTTGCTTCTCGCTTTGCTCATCTGCCGCCCAACTGGAGTTTATTTGTTAGCACTTCTTCCCGAAGCTCGCTCCCGGCAGAGCTGGCTTTCATCTCCTCACCGTGCTGCAGAGAAATGCGGGGCTGGAGCAGGAAGGAGCGCACAGCCAACGCTCCAGGATCTGGCCCAACGTACTTGGGTGATGATGCTAGGAAAATAGAAAGCAAACAATGCTGTAGGAATAGCTTAGCCCACATACAATATACGAGAGCTGTTCCCATGATGTTTGCTCAGTCCCTGATTAATTTAGCGCGCAGGATGGTCTGGCAGATTATGCAGCGAGACATGCTAATTTGGGCCTGTGGTTCATGTGAAAGAATTACGCCAGTCTGGGAGACAATGCGAGCTAATATTAGGACACCAGGCAGGGAGTCAGGAATCCGAAGCCTGACTGCCACTGACCTGCTCCCAGGCCCTGAGTCCCTCTTTGGAGCTGGTTGGAGAAGAGGAGCATCTCCCTTGATGTTCACCAGAGTCAGCCCTGGGAGCCGTTCATCCCAGCCAAGGCTTCTGGCCATTATTGTATATAAATAGCAATGATGATCATAATCTTTCCATAGGGGGTAAGGCACTGCAGGGGTAGTGCCTCGCATCCAAGATGCTGCTTTCTTTGGATCAAGCTTGAATGTGAAGTAGATGCTGCTTTAGCATGAAGATGCTTTTACAGGACCAGCAAAGAGAGAGTAGATCAGGGCCATTTCTGTGAAGATACAACACCAGACACCGCAATGAATTCTTCTGCTTCGCTGCTTCAAAAAGCAAGACAGGGTTGTATATCTTCCAAATCACTGAATGATATCTTGTGGTGTGTTAATTGGCTCTGCTTCTGAGAACATTTATGTGTGTGCTCAGCCTTACACATGTGGCTTGTCTGATGCCTGTAAATCACTCTCACGAGCAAAGCAAAGCCAGTCCCCAGATGGCTGCAGGATCAGGGCCGTGCTGCTGCCTCGTCTGTTGTGGCTTTTGCCAGAATTACAAGTGTGACCCAGAGAGGGACCTCCCAGCTACTTCACTGCTGAAGAAAGGGTGCGTTGGTACTGCTCTGGGGGAACTCCTCCCCAAATCCTTGTCGTGTCTTGTCATCATGCCTCATGATGACAAGACACAACTTAATTTTTTCTTCTTTTAATTGTATTGAGGGCACCTGGACTTTTTTTTTTTTTTTAAGAACAAAACCAGTTCTCTGTCATTGAAATCTTCCTCCTTGTCATTTTCTACAGGGAAAAGGGATTTCTAATGTTTGTTCTGTACATAGTATTGCTATTAATATTCTGGGCTTTGACTCTTCACATTTGAAAAAAATCCTGCATGGGAGAGGTGGCAGGCAAGACACTGTACTGCCTGAGTCCTCTGTGCCAGTTAGTTTGGAGAAGCAGAGCCTTTGTGTCTAGTTTTATTGTCAAATGAACTCATGAGATGGACACCTCTGAGAACGAACAAAGGAGAGGATGGGACTTTCAGGGTCTGAACTGAAAGTGGGCAGTGTTGGTGTCTTAGGCAGCTGCTGCTGAGTTCTAATGGCACAAATCAGAGGTAAGCCCTTCTTTTTCCAGAAGCAGAAAGGGGGAGGCTTATCAGCTGACACAGATGAGCTAGGATAGCTTATCTTAGCAGGACAAAGCTATTGTCTACTGAAAAGTCCCTCTTAGCTCATGTGGGCCCATTAAAATAGCAAAAGAAAAATTCCCAGAGAAGAATGTGAAGTGGTAAAACTTAATATGTACCAGACTAGGGGCAGGAACTTGCTCCTTCTGTGACGAGATCACAGACAAGAAAGACTAGAAAAGTCAGGATTTTTTTTTTCCATTTTGAAACTATTAGTGGTAAATGCTCCTATGTGTACCAGACCTCCACTCCCACAAAAGCTGCCCAAAATGGATACCGTGGGGAGGTTTCCTTCAGGTTTCTTTTGGAAAGTTGAAACATGTGGCAGGCTCAGCCTTCCCTCGCAAAGTAAATCTGATCCTTAATATAACCAACAGGCTGTGCCCTATCCCCTCTGCTCTGGACTTCTTGGGAGCTTTACAAGGCTGGGAACAGACTGACTCGGTCCTTGCCAAACAGCCGCACCCACGGCAATCACATCCTGGAACGGCAACGGCTTCTGCAGGGAAGATGTGTCTGAAAGCAACTAATGAACTCAGGGGCACAAATGCTAATGAAAGTTAACGAGATCCACGCTCCTTCATGTGTAGGATTTTTAAAAAAAAATCGTGCTCTTTAAGATGAATGCTGGTTTCATGCTCTCTGCGGGTCACCCCGAGGCCCACATCCAGGTGGCTGCTCCCTGCCCTTGGGTTTTGCCCAAGAAGTGTGACAACATCCCCAAGATGCCCTGCCTGCTGTGTTATTTAAGCTGTACGATATGACAGAGCATGTTTTATGGAGCCATTAATTTATGCTGTGGGTGACTTTAACCACCCAAAAGTATATTAATGGCCCTATGAAATACACCCCGGAGTGTCTTAATATGGTTATGAGATTGATCTTCAGCTTTATATGCTGCTGTGTGTGAAATTATTGAAATAAATTTGTAGAGAAAGGTGATGTGGTGGATCCCAGCAAGGGGTGAGCTGCCTTTTTCTTAGGATCCTGCGGTCGCAGAGTTGCTCGGTGTCCTGTAGTACATGCCATGGGCTGGAGCAGCATCCCTGCCAGTGGGATGCTGGTGAAGTCCTGTTCAAGGCGTTGCCTTTCGGGATGGAGTGGCAGTACCAGCTTGTAGAGAAACCTGGACTCCATGCAGAAAACTTCTCTCTGGCAGGAGTGTGCTGGGATTGCTGTGAACAGCAATTCCTGTTTGGGAAATACAGCAAACCATGACTTTCCTACTGATAGATGCTAGCAGCATGAGTGTACCGACAGGAAGCCTTGATGTCAGGAAGGCTAGACCTTGTTTAAAGTCTCTTTTTGTCTATATGCTCAGGGTTTTTGAAGCCTCCAGGCCTATGATGTCAAAGTGGGTTTGGGTTTTAGCTGGAAATTAAAAATGAATTCTGCTGTATTAAGTAATCTGTGCCTTTTTTTTTTTATATAGCCTTAATCATTATGATCTTTTTCAATGCTCTCTGGTGGGACTGTATGGCTCTGAACTCTGATAAACCCAGAAAGTTCTCAGTAACTGAATGTAATGTTTCATCCCAAAACAAGTAAAAACCATGGTTTTTCTCATCAAAACTTTGAGAACTTTGACCCATTGTAAAATCCAGGACACAGCGTAAGATTTCGGAGATGCTTATGAGACCAAGACTGCGGGTCAACATCCTCTCTGAAAGAACCATTTTAGCTGCTATTTTGTATTTGCAGAGGGGCTCAAAGTGTGCAAGCCTTCCTCTGAAGGAGGAAGAAGGCATCATCCCAGGTGAAGCTTTGTTAATTAACGTTTATAAAGCACTTAGAGACCCTTGCAAAAAGCAGGGCAGGTAACCAGAACTGCAGTTCCCTACTGGATGCAGCTGGCAGAAGATGGAAGGAAGTCAGTCAAACACAGCATGCATGGAAGAAAACTGAAGGGACAGCTCTAAAATCAAGAGAAACTTCTGGCTAAGCTTTGCAGGTTTGTTAATTACTGGCAAGAACAATTTTGGGAACACTGGCGGCCCAGATGTGAGCACAGCGGTAGGATTAGGACAGGTACAGATCACACGTACATTACTGTTGCAGTGTTTGTGAGCAAACAAAAAATGGCCCTCAGAAATCTGTCATATCATAAATTTTATTAAATTGTTTTTCTAAATGGTGTTTTTTGATTATTTCCCCCCGAGGCAGGAGTGGTGCTGCGGGATCTGGTCAGGGCAGTCACAACGCATGCGATGCTCACATGGGTCCCAGCTGAGTTCTGGCTTTGTGGGGCTGCCACATCACATCCCATGGCGATAAAAATGTCACACCCAGGTCTGGCCGTGAGCAGGAGGGAGCCTCCCTGGGCTGTGACCTCAGACGAGTGACACAACCTGCAGCTGGCATGCAGCTGAGGCATAAACCCTTCCCTTCGGCCACGCTGCTGCCTTTATTCCCTGGAGGATTTAGCCTGACTGCTGATCCAGCTTTTACTGGTCAAGGCAACATAAAAAGCGTGCCCTGATCTGAAAAGTGACAAACTGGGTAGCTGGTTACAAAGCCAGCCAAAGCAGCTGAAAGGCAGCTACGGCTGCTGCCAGCTAGAGCATCAGCTCAGCTTTAAGTGTGAAAAGTGGTAAAGCCTTGAGTAGAAAGAAACCTTCCAGAGAGCTGGAAGGAGCCAGGCGCTGGGTGCAGCAGAGAAGTTGGATTTCAGGACTTTTTCCTGCATTTCCCTTCATTCCCAACTTCATGAGCTTGAGAATCCTGTGAACTGTGCTGTGTGGCAGTGGGCAGAGCGTCCTTGTTCCTGGTCTGGGGGTGGCTGTGCCACCCTGACCGCAGCATGTGGCTGCAGAGCGCTGCCTGCAGCACTGGGGATTTGGTGAGGCAGCTGTGGGAGGGAGCTTGGCTGTGGGGAAGTGGTGATGGAGATGCTGGGTGTGAGGGACAGGCTTCCCTCCTTCCTCTGGGACAGCTGGAAGGGCAGGAAAGGCACTGCTGTCACCCACTTTTGGGGTCTGCATGCCCCAAGCTGCCAGCATCGCAGATCATTTGGGTACACGCGTGGCTGGAAAGATGTGGGGTGAGAGCAATGTGGGCAGCAGCAAAAGTCCCCAGGCTGTGCCAGCAGGGAGCCCATGAGGGCACCGCGGGGAGCAGGACGGGGCTCTTTGTTTCCCTGGGTCACTTCTTAGCCCCGATGAGCAGCGAAATAGGGCAGGCTCACATCTGACAGCTGAATTCCTTGCTGGAAGGGGTTCGGTCATGCATAAACCGCTCGGAACGAGGCCTGGCTTTCAGGTTTGGAAGCACGGAGCACGACCTGGAAGGGACAGCTGGCTGCACACACACACACTTATTTCCCCTGTTGGAGTTTTTGCAGTGGCTCTGGGTAACTTTGGAGAGCTGGGGCCAAGGGCAGCGGGATGGATGGATGCAAGGGTGGAGGGACAGATGCCTGTCTTCCAACCCAGCATAGCTCTGACCAACTGAATGGGAACCCAAACTGCCCAAACTTCGGTGCTGCCCTAAGTTGAAGCCCCCAGAAGCGGAGAGCAGAGCCCGGAGCATCCCCGCAGCGCTGGCACCACGCGGGCAACTTTTCCTACTGTCCCCCCGCACCGTGGGCATCGCGCCGGGGCTGCAGCCCCCCGGGACCAGCTCAGGACCCTTCCCTTTTCCCTTCCCCGACCCTCGGGGGCCCGGCCAACCGCGGGGGGGCGGGGGGGCTCGGTGCGGGGCCGGGGGCGGGGATGCGGGCGGGGGCCGGGCCGGGGCGGGCCGTGGCAGGGCGCAGGCGCCGGCGGCGCGGAGCGGGACGGAGCCGAGGGGAACAAAACAAGCGGGGGGACGGCGGGCACCGGGCGGGGACAGCGGGGACGGGGAAGGGGCAGGGGGAGAGCACGGCGGGGCCGGGGCGGCCGGGAGAGGGAGGGCGAGGAGGAGCCGGGTCTGCTGTTGGGGAGCTGCTGCCGGAGCACTTTGTGATTTTTTTTGAAATTTTTTTTTTTCTTTTTCTCCTTTTTTTTTTTCTTTTCTTTTTGTTATTTTTAATTTTTAATTTTTATTTTTTAAATATTTTATCTTAATTTTTTCTTTTTTCATTTTCTTTTCTTTTTTTTCCCCATTTTTTTTTCATTTTCCTTTTTTCCTTTTTCTTTTTTTTCTTCCTTCCGTTTTTTCGTTTCGACTTTTCCTTTCCGCTCCAACTTTTACCTCCCGTCTTCCGATTTTTAATTTTCCGTTTTCCATTCCCCCCCCTCCCCCCCCCGCCCATTTTTTTATATTTCCTTTTTAAGCGGCGCGCTCCCTTCCGCGGCCGCGCAGCCACGCTGGGGAGGGTGCCGGCGGCGGGGATGCCTTGAGCGGCTGGCACGGCTCAGCACAGCTCAGCTCAGCACGGCTCAGCACAGGGCTCTGCACCGTCTGGTCTATGAAGCATCGGCTCTGCACCCCCGCGCACCTGCTTAAGCGCGCAGCGCCATGGCGCGGGTGGTGCAGAAGAAGAGCCACTGGGCCGGCCGGGTGCGGCAGTGCGCCCTGAGCAGGGGGCCGGGGGGGCAGCTGGGCTTCGTGCTGCTGGGGGGCGCGGAGCACGGCGAGTTCCCCTACGCGGGCGCGGTGGTGGCGGGGGGCGGCGAGGAGGCGCTGAGCGAGGGGGAGCTGCTGCTGGAGGTGCAAGGGGTGCGCGTCTCCGGGCTGCCGCGCTACGACGTGCTGGAGGTGATCCGCAGCTGCCAGGAGCCCATCGTGGTCAAGGCCGTCAGACAAGGTGCGAGGGGGAAGTGGTGGGGTGGGTGGAGAGGGTGGTTGTGCCCTTCGTGGCACCGTGGGGTGCTTTAGGAGTGGCTGGGGGAGCCACGCGTGGCCCCGTGGGCACGTTTGTGCTCCCCGTGGCCGTGCGCCGAGGTGCCCACGGAGATGTTGCACCCTCACTCAGCCCGGAGTTGTGCCCTAAAGCCCAGCAAGTGACTTCCACCATGAGGACACTGCTGGGGGTCCTGGGGCCAACGTGGGCAGAGGTGCCCACCTCCCGCCTCCGAGCATCCTTCTGGGCTGCCATGCTGCTGGGTGCCGGCTTGACCCTGCTCCAAAAAGTGCTGGTGGGCTGCCACCCGCAATGAGGGGACAGCCACACACCTATGGCAGGACCCCTGTCCCTTTGGGTCCCTGTCCCCTCAGCCAGGGTGCACGCAGCAGGCAGGTGAAGGTGCTCCAGCCCCTCAGCACGGCTCTGCTGGGAAGTTTGGAGCCTGTGGGATGGCCCCAGCCGAGTGCCAGACCTCCGAGAAAACCTCCAAGAAAACTGTCCTCTCCGGAGAAATGCCTGTGCTCCCTCCTGCGTTTTCTCCGCTTGATTGGAAAGCGAAGAGGGGAGCGCCCAGGACGGAGGGGGAGAGGAAGCTGGGGAAAAGTATGAGGAAATGGGGCAGGTTTTCTTGTGTGCTGATCGCTTTAGCAGGTGTTAAAATGCAGCCTGCGATGTTGCAACGGGAGCGGCGGCGGTGGGTGACGGAAGGTGTGGGGGTCGTTCCCCGCAAGGAGTTTGCCACTAAACTTTGGGTTATTTTGGAAACGCTGCTTAGTGTAAATAGAAACTTGTCACAGGAATACACCAGAAAGGACAGAATTTGATTGGAAATGTGCCTTAGCTCTGGGAGGGTCAAAACGAGAGGCAGGCAGCTGGCTTTCAGCATGCTGGTTGGGCTTACCTGGAACGTGGGAGAAAAGGCTGAAAGCCCTGCCCGGAGCCAGGGCAGGCACCTGAGCCTTGCGCCGCCCTCGTCCCGAGCCAAGCCTGGTTACTGCAGGGCTGTGTTTGCTCTTCTTTCCGTCTTTCCTTCACAGAAATCCCCCTTTTTCAGTCATTAAGTACTTCTGTGGTCTGAAAGCCTCTCCGTGTGCCTCCCTCAGTGAGAGCTGGGCGTCCGTGCGCTGCTCTGCACGGAGCAGGGAACTCCCTCGCGGATCAGGAGTGAATGCGTAGGAAAGGAGAGGGCTTTAATTAAAATGCATTGCTTCTACGTTGATTAAAAACCTCATTATGGGGATGGCGGCTGTCATTCAACAGGAGGTGTGTGGCAATAGAGCAGACAGCGAAGGAGTGTGAAGATGAAATTGTAAACGTGTTTAGCTCTGATTCTCCTCTTCCCAGTTCCTAGTGCCCAGTCAGCCGGTGCTGAAGTGTTAGGGCAATCCTAGCCTGGAAACATACACGTTTTATTGCCTGGTCTATTCCGTATGACATTTACAAGGCTGGAAAAACAGGAAATTTACTCAAAATGAGTCAGTCATCTGCCAGCCTGAACAGAGAGAATAACTGTTCTGACCTTGCGCTGAGTGGATGGCAAGGGGCTGGGATGTGAAAGAAAGGTTGAACAAGCCGTGCACTTGCTTTGTCATTAAAGTCAGGCTTATAGACTTACAGGTCCGCGTCCAGTATTTTCTTTTGCTTTTGTGAGTTGTAACTTTGAATGGGCTCCCACAAAGTACAAAAATGGGGAACGTATATGAGTTGGCTTAATTGGAATAACTGCATTTAATATTGCTCGTGTGGGATTTCTTGGTCCTTCTCTTACCCTGTGAGAGTGAGGAAAAATGAAGAACTTAAAGCT